AAGGCACACGTCAGGTGGCACACAATAGAATCAAGCCTAGCCGCAACCTGGTGTCGAAGGGCAGCTTCAGTGACCCTAACCGCCAATGGTTGTGGGGGAGGCGGAGAAATAATGCGTGGTGTTCCACCTGCCTTGTGAGCGGTCCGCTTGGCACTCGGCTTGCGTACCTGTTTTGGTGGTTCGACTTGATTGGAAACAAATGAGCCAGCGGAAGTATTCCACCGCTCGTTGTTGCTTATGGCCCCGGCACTTCCCTTCACGCCTGTCTGGGGACCAGCGCTGTCTCTAGATTCCTCCTGTTTGTTACCAAGATCAATCTTGAGAGGCTCGGAAACAAAGTGAGGGGTAGCAGGCTCTGCAGGCTGACTACAGAAAAAATTGAGGGGCGCCTGTGCAGGTGGCAATGTTGCCCCCTCTCCCTTTGCAAGGATAGTAGCAGCTTGTACTCCTTCTTTCTCAGTGCGACCGTTAGAGATCTCTTGCGTATCAGCTACCTTGAGGGCAGCAAGGGCAGTGCCTATACTGCGGGAAATACTGTCCGCTCGCGCAGCTGCTGCCTCAGCTGCTGAGGCTGGCGCGGAGGTATTACAACCTAATGCGACAGACTGTGGGAGATGCTTTTTGGGTTCTTCCCTTGACGCCCGACTAAAGGCCGGGATGGGATGTCCTTCAGGGACCTGCGAAGCACCCGTGACAGTAAAAAGGAAGGAGATCGTGACCTTGTCGTCTACCCCAAAAACAGTCGCGAAATCGCGCCTATATGGGGCAAGGATAACAGCATCACCAAAATTGGACAGATAAACGCCACCTGCAAAAGAAACGTGAGTCCGCTGTTTTTGTTGGACAAACTGAGGCAGACGGACATTGCCTTTCCCTGTCAGCGCATAGACTGCATAACAAGAGCCACTGTGTTCATCGTCTGGCGGTTCATCGGAAAAAAAGTGACTGCAGTGTCGTCCAATAAGACCCTGTGGAGGCTCACTTTCGCCTGTGTCGGGCTCCCCATTCGCATGCGGACACTCACGCAAAGCTTGCGAGATGATTGAGTGGTGCCGTCTGCCTGCAGGGTTCTTGAGACCAATATGCAGAATTGGAATTGATTCCTGCGTGGCGTAGCGATGCACTCACACTGCATGATCTTGAAACGCACCGAATAAGCATAACGCTCGACTGCAATTTTGTCCTCAACGTAGACAGGTGTGAAGAAGGTGAGCCTAGTGGCAGGAACTTCATGAGCGTTGCTGTAGCGGTAGCGCCTCCAGTGTTGCTCGGGTTTCTCCAGGGTAGTCCGCCTTGAGGCTGAGGGGAGGAGCGCACTGGTATCTTTAACGAAGTACTCAATCAAAATCCCAGCATCTGTTTGATCATAGGCGGACCATAATGCGGCTTCATCAGAAGCAGGTATAACAACATGCAGGGCAACTTCCTGGACTCCTTGACAGTCCATGACGGCGCGTCGCACATATGTGGGGGTGGCTCCGAGGCTTTGAATGAGATTGCGGCCTTGGTCAGCGTCTAGAGTACCCTGCAAAGACCTGACTTGTAGGTGAATCTCTTTAACGACCGAAGGGCACACACACTCAACGAAGTATGAACGGGTGGTGAGGTATGTCCCCGCACAGTGCTTCCTCGGGATAAGCTTATAGGCCCCACGGATTTTGCTTTCCGGTAGATCGATTGCGTTACGGCGTAATGAGTCAATAAACGCCTGGTAGCGAAGTGGCGTTACCCGCAGTGCAAGATGTTGCCTCACGATGCATGCAAAGATGTTACACCGATATGCATGTCGCATGATTGCGTCAATATGTGGGCCTGGCTGTGTAGTGACCGGAATACTACACACAACTAATGCTTGCAGCTGCTCGAAGGCGTCCAGAGGGAGAGAAGTGGAAAGATGACTGAGCACATCACAAGGCAACTGCGACACACAGACGTTAAGATTGGGGGATACACCCCTATCACATGTCACATGCCTCATTGGCTTGCGAAATATAGGTCTCCAGCAATTCAAGAGCACTCAAGACAACGCTCGCATCAAGTTGCTGGTGCCTAATCCCGAACGTAAGCCCCTGCGTGCGGTCCTGCGTGGTTCTTCGAAAGAAAACCTGGTCTCGCAACTTGGCAAAGCCCATATAAAGCCAATTAGTGGCCATGTTGGCAAGAAGCCGACGGCCGCGCTTAAAGAGATAAACCAAGTAACATTGCCGGAATCCACATAACCCTCCTGCATGGGTCGCTCAGCATCATGTTGCCGAATCGTCACCCAGACGGGATAAGCTTCATTGGCCGGAGCACCAGGCTTCGCAGGCACAGGTGAGGGGATAAGGTCTTGTTGATCTCTGAAATGATTGATTTGGACGTTGTAACCCGATGAGGGAAGAAACTTCTTCCGAACATCATAATAATTAAACGAGGTCTTGTGGGAAACCCTTGGGGGTGGAATAGACAACCATAACTTCATTGGAGGCGTCAACCAACGCAAAGACTTCCTTGACCCTTTGTGGAATGGGACCAATCATTACAATACGCATGTGGGGCTTAATGGTTCCCGCCAACGCAGCAACATCTTCGATCCAAGACGTACAGACCCGGTCAATTCCTGCCGCAAAGGCCTCACCTTCTTCAACAGCAGACGGGAATGACGCAAACAGGACATCCACCTTTAGATCCACCACAACAAGTTTTTCAATAAGATGTCTCCAAAGCTGTTGCACGTTTCTTCTGGCCGCTATGTCATGCGCAGTCATTCCGGCAACTATTTACCCTTGAAGCCTGCAGCGACGAACACAGCTGTAAGTTGGTACAGCAAGCCTCAGTGGTCCAAGGGCAGCACGTCCTCAAGTGTGACCCAAGAACCGAAAAGCCAACTGACGCATGTCAGAAGGACACAGATCCACTTTAAGGAACCTTCCAAGAGACAGAGAGTCACGTTTCAGGCTTTTAACCAATCCTTAAAGGAGTTTATACACTCTCCTCAGATGCAGTCGCTCGATTTGGGTGTGCACTGCAGGCCTCAGGTGATTATTTGGACGTGCAAAACAGGTCTTTTTGAAGATTATCAAGCAAAAAAGCCGACTGACGTAACTACAGTGTTAAGCACGGTTAAGGCTCAAGGCTTGCAAAAACTGTGGTTAGTAGACACAGTTTAGCACTGAAAGCCCACTTCCAAAAGTTTTAGGGGCTCTTCCGCACTGCGAAAACAGCAGTAACTCTTGAGAGACGCCACGGTCAAAGCTTGCTGTCAGCAGTAAGTTGCAGCAAAGCGACTGCAGTAAGGTAAAACAGCCTACACTTCTCGGAACGCCCTACACTGTGAGCCTCCCCGGGCCTCCCTAAGCCTTCGAGAGCGAGGGAGCCACCTAATCAGCAACAAACCTTCTAGTCACGAACTCTCACCCTACTACGTCTCAACAGAGTATCCCTTTAGGATTTCTTAAGCCGAAGGCTACGGAACCTGGGTTTAAACCTGGTTTTATCCAGGTTTGAACCCAGGTTCGAACCCAGGCAGATTCAAACTCGTGAACAAACAAAAAAGAATCGAAGACCAGAAAATGGAAGACTGCGTCTGTCCAACTCTGTTTCTTTCAGTAAAAAAACTTCGGTGCCTTTCACTGAAACAGTGAATCTTCAACACCATGTCAAACCAACAGCAAAACAAACAAAAATAACGTGAACAGACATCTTTAACACAAAAGAAGTGTCACACGAAAATTGTTGAGAATCAAAAAAAAAACATAAAAGAAGCAGAAATATGAAAATTCAAGCAGGGTTCAACCCTGGGGTTCAAACTTCTCGAATCCAGGTCAACCTGGAGTTTGAACTCTATATTCAAACTCTGGGTCGGAAACTCTATGTTCGAACCCGCGTTCGAGAACTCTATAATCGAAAATCTGGGTTTGGGAATTCTTCGAACCCGGGTTTGAGAACTCCACGTTCGAACTCCGGGTTCGGGAACTCCTTTTCCCTTCCTAGGAGAGTCCGAACCCTGAGTTCGGAACTCCATATGTTCGATCTGGGTTTACCAAAAACTGCACAGCTCCACAAGCCCATCTACGGAGTCTCAGCGACCGATCAGAAGCAACAAAGAGCCGTCGCTCTGAGCTGCCCAAAGCAACAGGTGGAGCCAAGACCAAGCTCCGGCCGCCGTTCTACTCGTCAGACAACGGGCAGCCCCCGCGCTTTTGTGAAAAGTTTGATCCTTTTAGGTGTGCCCTTAAGTACCGACATGCTTGTTTTGCGCATGAGAAAGGGTTTCATCCTTTTTGCCTTGAACTGTTTTGTTTTGGAAGCTTGAACAGGCATTTGCATGGCTAACACATGTTTTGGCATGTTTGCAGTTGCGTTGAAGACCATGATGAGCGTTTACAGCACTAGAGATGCTTTTGGGCATCCTTGAAGAAGTGCGTGTTGCTCTGACTGCACTGTTGCTGTTTTCCGCCGACCCTCGCTTCGCTCGTGCCAGTAGGAACAGGCCAAGGGACAGAGTGGCTGTATTTGAGTGAGTACAGAAGTCCTGAGAAGTGTTAGGACAGTTGCATGTCATTTCTCCTTTGTTTAGCAGTTGAGACGGAATTTGCTGCGCGAGACTCCGCAAGAGACCTTGCTGAACACTTCGGTGTTTGGCTCAAGCGTGGAGTGAAAAGAGACTTGCTCTGCGTTTTTCACATGGTAGCGGAGCGCTGAGTGCGTTCCTAGTAAAGCCATGGCAAACGTTCCTGTGCCGGAGACCACTGCAGAAGAAGAGTTCGAGCTTTTGGTCCAGACCAGCTGCGGCAGCGCATGAAGCGGCTGCTCAGCAGGGAGCGAATCCGTTTGCTCCTGTCCATGGTCCGGCTCCTGCTCCTACGCAAGCACAGCCTTCAGAACCAGCGGCGGGTTCGCCGACTGGTACTACTGTGCCTCCTGTGCAAAGTCCAAAGGCGTCGGCTCCACCTGTTCAGAGTCCGAAGGCTGCTGCTACGAGTAGCAGCTCTGGTTCTGCAGGTTTTACGCCTGAGCAGATGCTTGGATTCATGATGGAATTGCTTCGTCAGCAGAGAGAGATGATGGCAATGAACCAGCAGCTCGTGGCGACGATGCTCCGGAGAATGGATCTGGAGGAAGAGAGAAGGAACAAAGCGGAAGAGAAAGTTCTTGAGGCAGCTGAAGCGGCCAAGCAGGCAGCAGAGGCAGCTAAGACTCGGGACCCCTTCCAGCCGAGCACTGCTCCCGCGAGCAGTTCTGCCGCTAGTTCGGTAGCTCCGGCAGTTCCGTCTCCCTCCGGGTACTCTGGTGCTGGAGGCCGTGCAGAGAAGTATCTGCCGAACCTTCCGGTGATAGACCATCAAGGCATGGGGAAAGGGCGCATGAAGGAGGTAGAGACTTGGCACTCCTTTATGGAGACGCTGAGTTCCTGGCTTGCCCTGCAGGAAGAAGCGTTTGTTCGGGAACTGCAGCTTTGTATCCTTGTGAAGAAGGAGATTGTGCAAGCTGACTTGAATCCCGAGACTGCCGCACGTAGCTCCAAGCTGTTCTACTACTTGACGCAGTCCCTCGCCAAGTGGGAGCGGGGAAGCGAGCTCTTGAGGTCCTGCTCGAAGAGGCAGGGGCAGAGCGCCTGCGGCTACGAGGTGATTAGAACGATTACCTCTCAGTACTCCATCGTGTCGCGGATGGAAGCTGTCTTCGTGAGAGAACAGGCTTTGAAGTTGTACCAGCACGTTGGGCATTTGAAGAGGCCCACCGACTTGATTCGACATCTTGAGGATTCGTTTTCGAAGTCTGAAGCGAAGCTGAGCAACTTTCCGGAGCTTCTGCTGTCTGAGGCTGATCGCTGCTCTGTCCTGTTACAGAGCTTGGGTGCAGAAGTACGTCAGTACGTGGTACTGCACGGGTCCAGCTCGAACTGGGAAGCTCTTCGAAGGACGCTGACTTACTACGAGGAGCAGCTGCGACTGTGTGAGGCCCCTGGGTCTTCGGGCCGAGCCTTGCAGGAGAAGCTTTGCGACTACTGCGGGAAGAAGGGACACACAGCCGACAAGTGTTGGCAGCGCCAAAAGGAAGAACGTGAACGCGGTGGTGCTCCGAAGGGCAAAGGGAAAGGAGACAAAGGAAAGCCGAAAGGCAAAGGCGACCAGACTCCCAAGGGATCTGGCACACCCCGTGGTTCCGAGAAGGGCAAGGGCGACAAAGGAAAAGGCGACAAAGGAAAGGACAAAGGCAAGAAGCAGAAGAAGAAGAAGAAGGGACAGCCTGGAAAGGGACGCTCCTTGACAGAGCCGGAGTCCGAGGCCGAGTCGGGAGGAAGCGCCACAGTGATGGCGATGAGGTTTTCCTGTCCTGGGCGTGGTTCTTCGGAGCCTTCTTCTTCGGAACGCCGTGTTCTGAGACAGCCTGAGAAGCCTGAGCCGTCCGCCCTTGTAGTTCCGAAGCCGGGTTCAGGACCCGAAGGGTCGCCTGGGTCTGAGAGTCGAGGTTCTGAGTCTATGGGCTCCTTAGGATCCCGTATGTTGAAGTACGGCGACGTAGCTCATGTCTGCAAGGCCCTCGAGACTACTCCTGGGGACCTGTGGCTAGTTGATAGTGGAGCCACCTGCCACATTGTTTCTGACAAGCATCTCTCAGGATTTCGTGTTGTCAAGAAGTACGACCGAACGGCCAATCTGTTCAACGCCTCGGGTGGTGCGATCGTCGTATCGGGGGTTGTCGACCTTGAGGTTCACTTTGGTGACGTTTTCCTGAGGTTGGAAGAGGTCTTGGTGGCGGATGTTGGGTTCAACGTTGTTTCGCCTTGGGCCGGGTCGGAACGGGGCTGGAAAACCTATCTAGCCAAATCGGGATCACGATTGTACAAAGGAAACGGAAAGAAGAGCATCAAGCTGATGGGCGCTTCGCGCGCCTGGTGGGCTCTGAGCGGGAGGTCCAAGGGCCGGGGGAAAGAGAATTCTTCCAGACGCCCCCCGAAAGGGATCGAGGACATGGAGATAGATGCCTTGAAGGACCGCGACCTGCTAGGATCGAGCAAGGAGTCCACCGCAGGACCCCAGAAGCCTGGAGAAGGAATCCTGAAGAAAGGAAGAAAGACTTCGGAAGAAGACGAGTCTGGCCGCCACGCTTTGGCTGCCACTCCTTTTGGGTTTCTGCTTCGGGGTCTTAGGGCGGAAGTTGCTCCAAGAGCGCCTGCACCACGGGAGATTGAGTTTTGTGATCTTCTAGAAGAGTCTAGTGACGTTAGGCAGGGCGCGGCGATTGATTTTAGGAAACAGGTGCATGCTGGCATGTCGCTTGATTTTAGGAAACGGTCGCATGTTGGCATGGCTCTTGATTTTAGGAAACAGTCGCATGTTGGCATGGTGCTTTGCATGTTTTTGGCATGTTTTTCCATGGTTTTGCGATGGCATGTTTTCATGAGAGACATGGTTGTGCAAGCGCAGTGGGTTTTTGCTGCTGTGCTCGAGCGGGCTTTTACCCTTACGGCTTTTGCAGAAAGACTCAGAATACGCCTCTTTTTCCTGCTATGGGAAACTATCTGGGCGGATCAAAGCCAGAATGCGAGTGCCGGTGCGAAGTGTGCGGAAAGCAGGGGTGCGTCAGACGCAAACCTGCGCACACCCATCATTATTGCTGGGCCTGTATACAGCACTGGTCGGGGCTGCAATGGCTACGTGCCCACGACGAGGTTCCAGATTCGCAGTATTCTGAGAGCGATGCTGATGGTAGCATTGCAGCTGGTTGGGTCTTGCTCGATGGCAAGTGAAGAAGACAGACCCTTCAGCCACAAGAGGGTAGGAAAAGGATTGCGAAAGCAGCTGCCTGAGCTTGAGAAGCAACTGCGTGAGCCTAGGAAGCGACTGTGTGAGCCTAGGAAGCAACTGCGTGAGCCTAGGAAGCAACTGCGTGAGCCTAGGAAGCGACTGTGTGAGTCTAGGAAACAGCTGCGTGAACCTAGGAAACAGTGGCATGTTGGCATGCTTGGCTTGATTTGCAAACGCTGATGTTGCCGAATGTTTGCGCTAGCACTGCGCACGATTCATCTGCAGCCGTTTTTCTCTGTGGTGAAGAGAGGTCTCCCTTTGGAGATCATAATGGACGGTGCCAGCGGGGACGAGTTTACCCCGAGTGTTGCTTTGAGCAGCCCAGGCTCTCCTGGGAATCCGCCTACTCCACCGGCTTTGGAGAGCCCCTCTTTCGAACTACCGGGGGTAGAGCCGCCGGGTGGGGGACCATCGTCGCCGGTGGCGGTCTGCCCGTCGCCAGTGGTGACGGAAGCAGCGGAGGAGAGCGATGGGGAGGAGAGTTGGGGCACCCAGTGGCCGAATCCTTCGAAGCGCCTGCGCGCTGGGGGTCCTTCAGAGGTCGAGGGGCCTGTGCCACCGCGGGTTGGAATCCCGGCGAATATCTCGCCGGGCTCTCTGAGCCCTCCTTTTGGTGCGGTTCAGATGGATGTGGGAACCCAACTCCTCCTGAGGGCGTTGAGGCTGGAGGATGGGAGCATGCGGAAACGCTGGGCCTTGCAAAGGTCTCGGTCGACTCTACCGAGCCTATTCCGTTGCTCTCGCACTTGGCAGGGATTCCAGCGAACATGGAAGATGCCTACGATGCCCCATCCCTGGCGTTCTGTGCGCCAGGACACGCCTTGAGAGCACTTTGCTCTCCGGCGGCGACGATGCTTGGTCCGATAGGCCTGCCCGACCTAGAGCATCCAGCTGCTTGGCTACCAGCCACTCCGGTGATTCCTGTGACAGCGGCCTATCCGGAGGAGCCAGTGAGGGCTTCGAGGCCGAAGATGGTGGAATCGGAAGCCCAATGTATCATTGGGCAGCAGGAATGGGAGGTTTGGTTGGGACGTTGCCTAGAGGGCAAGAGCCTGGCAGAGTACGGGCTTCATATGGTAGATGTGGAGTTCGCTGTCAGGGTTACCGAACTTCTGGAGGCTCCACGGGCCGCTCGGGCAGCGTGGAAGCGAAGGTTTCAGGAACCCAACCCTGTGTCTATGCTCCACTATATCTTCCATTGTCGAGCCGTTTTGCAAACCTATTTGGCTACGCCTGCTGGATACAAGGGACTGGTGGGAGGACGTTCGAGTCTGCTCGTAAAGGTGCCCCAGTCGGTCACCTCGCTCGAGCTCAAAACGGCTTGGGCGTTCCTAGATTCGGGCATATATCTCCGTGTTGCCCGATATTACAGGCGAAAACGAGAGGAGGAGCGGCTCCACGAGGCCCGGGAATCCATGCGAGCGGCAAGGGCCAAATCGGCAGCGATCCCTCAGGGCGGTGTAGTGGACACCACCTCTTCGAGCTCCGACGAGGAGTCCTTGCTCCTTGGAGAAGGGGAACTTACTGCGCTGAACAGGGCCCAGGGCCAAGAAGATTTATCCGACCTCGCCATATGGCGCACATTGGAAGAACTTACAGGCCAGAGGTTGTCCCAATTGGATGGCTATGTTGGGGCGGCCGACGAGGGAAATCAGCCCGCCGAGGCGGGACAGCCGGCGCCGCCGAGCCCTGCTTCCTCAATGCCACCTGGAGAACTGGTGGCTACGGCATTCAACCTCCCGAGGGTCTCGGCACCTACGCTTCCGGAGGGAATGCAGAGGGAGGACTATCGAAGGCACGGCGTGAACATCCCGCCGTCGGTTCCAAAAAGATCTCGGCTACCAACGCCTCCGAGGGCTATGAGTGCGGCTGCGAGTGGTTCTGCCACCGGACAGACTGCCCAGGAACGGGCATTTGTGCTCAGCCCGCCATCTTTAAGCCACAGTCAATTGACTGCGCAGGTGAGGCAAGCCCTCGAAGAGGGCCAGAGATTGTTGGAGTGAATCTGCGGCGATCCGCAACGAGGGGTGTTTTGCAAAAGCACGCTTTGCAGCAGCACGTTTTGCAGCAACACACTTTGCAGCAGCACGTTTTGCAGCAGCATGTTGTGTGGCATGAGCGTTGGCATGGTCTGTGGCATGTTGAGTTTGCTCGAAGACAAACCCAACGTACCTCGAACCCTCCTACCTTCGAAACCCGCACCTTTAAAACCACGGCCGCTTTCAGGAATGGTTTCACGCCAGGACTGGATATTGGTATCATCGTGCTCCTCCTGACGGTCTACAGCCTCTTCTGGGGTATAGCTTTGTGGGTTTCTTCAGGGTTACTTCGGTGTTTCAGGAAAGTGGTTTCTCGAAAGAGGCCACGGAAGTGCTACAGGGTGTTTTCTAGAAAACGCGGAAGCTACTTTAGGATTAAGCTGCGGGACCGTTGGGCCCGCGTCGAGGTGAGTAGGAAACTTCTTTTGAGTCGTGAGGTGAAAGGTTTTGGGGAGCGCGTTTGTGAGCATGTCTGTGAAAACTTGAAGTGCGCATGTTGCGGCATGTTTGGCATGCTTTGTGCCGGAGATGATGAACCGGCCCCGGCAAAGGAGACGGAACAAGTTGAGCACGTGCTCCGAGCCGTGCGCTTTAGAGGTTTACCGTCGCCAGGGACCGGTACACGTTCTGATCCGTTTGACTTAGACCCCGAACCTTCCTCGAGACCTGCTCCCGAAACTTCCTCAAAACCTGAAGCTTCTAGTCGTAATCCTTTAGATCCTGAAGGAATCTTCGATGAGGACCCTGAACCGTTAGGGTCTGCCCCTGGCTCTTCCAAGAAACCTCGAAAAGAAAAGGGTCCAACACCACCTGACGACCCGGTTGGACCTGAGGACGAGGAGGACCTGAGGGTTCCTCTTTCTTCTGTGTCGTTGTATAATCATCGTAGCCGAGGGCATTTTCCGTTTGATTCCAATTGTGAAGCGTGTTGTTCTTCGAAAGGGCGCGTTCCAGCGCGTCGCTTGAGGAGGAAGCTGCAGAGAGAGAACCAGACCATAGGTCTTGATTTCTTCTATTTCGGAAAACTGAGGGTACTCTTGATGATGCACCTCGGTTCTAAGTATACTGTCTCTCTTCCTGCGATGCACCTCGATGACCCTGACCTGCTCCACAACATCAACCGTGTGATTCGCGAAATGGGATTAGTCGGTAAAGCGGTTACATTTCGGATGGACCAAGAAGCGGCTCTTGGAGCCCTTGCCGAGAAACTCACCAAGTGCGATAGCAGCCCTGCCAGCGCAACTTTGATTGACGTGGTTCCGGGCTACAGGCCCCAGTCGAAGGGATCGATTGAGCGGCAGGTTGAAACTATGAAACAGGGTTTCTGGTCTGTTTGGTTGGACCTGGAGAAAGAGGTTGCTAAGGTGAAGCAGGAAACGGAAGCCGTTGAGCTTGGGAAGTATCGGTTACCTTTGGGAGGTTTGCTTTGGCAAGCCTGTGTTTTCTACGTTGCTAGGTGCTATAACCTCTGGTGTACCAGCGTCGGGGATTCGAGCACTAGCATAGATCGACTGCATGAGGAGATTGTGAACCGAACTCGGACGAGACCGTTCGGGTGTCTGGTTCAAGCTCAGGTCAGTAAGTCCAAGGCGCACCATGATAAGTTCAGGGGCGCCCGGACCGTGAAAGCGGTTTATCTGGGACCGGTGCACGCCAAAGGTGGCGGCATCTTTGCCGTCCCTGTCGGAAGCAGTGAAATAGATATATTCCCCGTCGCCAGAATGATTCAGGGAGGTGACATCTACGATGCCAAGACCCTGGAAGAGCTATCTTTAGCTAAGCCTCTTCTGCAGGACACTGAGGACCCCGAGAGGCCCATACTGTTTGATCCGTTGGAGGCTCCTGGTGATGATGCTCCTGATGAGGGGGCGGGTGTGGGAATGGATGAAGATGGTGATGAAGAGATGATCGAAGATGAGCTTGGTGACTATTCTCCTTCGGAAGCGCCTGAGAACCAGGAGGTTGTGAACGATGAGGGGGATATGGAAATAGACTGGCTCACGAATCACTATCTTGAGTCCCTGTTTCGAGGGCCTGACCTTCGAGCCGCCTCCACTGCAGTCGCAAAGTCGTTTGATTTGAAGTTTGGGGGTACGAAGATAAGGTGTGCTGTTCCCCAGGACGCTGTTTCTGAGACTTCGGGAGAGAAGCTAGAACCCGACCTCCTTTACGCATCAATGAAGCTTGAGTTGGAAGAGTTGGAGTCCTTTAAGGTTGGGGAAGTGATCCCTGAGCGCGAAGCTCGCCGTCTTGCTAAGGAAAATGGCAGGCGAGTTTTGACTAGCAGGTGGGTCAACACGGTCAAGAAGAAGGGACTGTATAGATCTAGGCTAGTCGTGCGGGATTATGCCTCTATGGGAGGCACCACCTTGAGTGAGGGAATCTACTCTCCTACTACTTCATTGGAGGGTCTGAGATTGCTTTTATCAATGCTCTGCCGACGTGGCAGTGTGTTGTCCTGCGATGTCTCGGTAGCGTTCATGCATGCTCCCGTAGCGAGGGCAGAATTCGTAGAGTTGCCGAATAATGTGAGCACCCAGGGGACTGGGGAACGAGTTTTCGTCAAATTGCGGAAAGCGATGAACGGATTGCGCTCTGCTCCATTATCTTGGTATTGCGAGTTGGCTGAATACTTGCGCTCTCAGAACTTCGAAGCAAGTTTGGATCCCACTATATTCCGTCGTCTTACGAGGAAGGGTTTGACGATTGTGTTGTTTTATGTGGATGACTTGCTGATCTATAGTGAAGATGAAGCTGAGGGGCGCCGGTTCTACGAGGAGTTGCGTAAAAGATACAAACTGAAACTTACGGGCGAGTTGATTCAAGACCTGCAGTTTGTGTGTGGGTTTCTTGGCCGCCACCAAGCAGCTCCTGACGAGGCTGCCGAGACCTGTATGAGGGATGTCCTTCGTTGGGTCAAGGGTCTTCCGCACAAGGTCCAGAGGTTTCCGAGCAAAAGGGAGATCTTGGAAGATGATGCGGACCCTGCCTCTGTATCTTGTTTTACGGACGCGAGCTGGAGTCTGAATTCGGTAAGCGGCGGAATCATCACGTGGGAGAACTGTTCCCTGAAAAGCTTCAGCAGGAAACAAACGACTACCGCACTCTCCAGTGCGGAAGCTGAACTCGCTGCACTCACAGAGGTTGCTCGTGAAGGGTTGTACATTGCTTTGCTTGTGGAGACCATCCGCGAGGGTATGCCGAAAGACAGGGAAACCGGTTATTATGTTCTTAAGGGATATTCTGATTCCGAATCGGCGGTTTGTATATCTAAGATGCAGACCCTCCTGAGGAAAGTGAGGCACATCGAACTTCGTGCCGCATTCCTTCAGGAGCTGGTGGCCAGGGGTCGTTTTACCATAGAACACATACCCGGAGTGATAAACCCTGCGGACGCCCTCACGAAGAGCCCTACTAACGAAAGTTTGGCTAGCTTGTACGATGCCTCTGGCCTTGTAGATGAACCGAAGGCCTGGGAGAGTGAGCCTACTGAGGTGCACGTGTCTTTTGAAGAGCCCAATGAAAACGAACGTTTTACTCCGTCTGTTCCGCCTTCCTGGAAAGCCGCTGCGTTGAAGCTAGCTCGCGGTGAAGCTAAGTACGTAGTGGTTGAACTGTGTTGTGAAGAAGGAAGCGCGTTGTCCAAAGCCTGCTCGAAGGTCCCCGAGATCGCCTACTTTGGGGTGACTAAGGAGGTTGATCTTCTGAGCTATAATGGCTTGTGTCTTCTGAGAGAAGTTTTCGGAGTCGTAGCTGAAGGTGGGGTCAAGGTGTATGCTCACCTGTCTACTCCGTGCTCTGCTGGGTGTGGTTTAAGGCACCTGAGGTTTAAGAAGGGAGGAAAAGCCCTGGAGAAGTGGAGAGCGGCTCTGGCCGTTCACAAGAGGTCCTGGAAAAGGATCGAGAAGCTGTTGGAGCCTTACGTGGGCTCCCCGAACCTTCTGCTTTCTCACGAGTGGCCTGAGAGGTCAGGACTGTGGGATGAGACTGTGTTTAAGAGGGTTTCTAAGAAGCTTCGTTTGGATCAGGGTTGCCTTGTGGATCGTTGTTGCTTTGAAAAAGGGTGACCAACGACCTTGGAAAAGATGGTGGTTTGTGTCTAACCGCACAGAATTTGTGTGGGGACTTTCGTCTCAGTGCTCTGAGGGACACGGCCACTACTACCTTCCTCTTCCTGAGTCAGGTGTGTATCCAGCGGGTTTAGGATTCGCTCTCTTGAAGAACGCGAAGAAGACTTTTGAGGAGAAGTGAATAGGACTCTCGGGGGGGGGGGGGCCTTCCGTGCAAGAGTGTGCAGTGTGTGCAGGTGTGTACCCTGCTGCCCATCCCTCTGTTTGCACTGCAACAGTGTAAACCTGCTTGACACACCTGTTTTGCAGCTACTTTGGTTTGCAGCTGCACGGTCTCCTTTTCTTCTTGGCCGCCAACTGAGCTAAGTGAGTTAGTTATGAAGGTCGCTCAACCGCTACCTCGCCCAATGGGGCCTGAGGTTACTTGAGCCAGACACCTTCCTGTACAGTCTTCCGATTTTGAATAGGGCTTTGAGGCTACTGGTTGTACTGGAGCCTTCAAGGCGTACTCGCTTAGCCCTGGCTTTGCTACAGCCAGTTTTAATTAATGCATGCTTCAGGGTTTCTTCGGACAGGCCTCTGGCCGTGGACTTCTCGCGCCACCGGAATGAAAAGTTTGCTCCTTTTAGGTGTGCCCTTGAGTACCGACATGCTTGTTTTGCGCATGAGAAAGGGTTTCATCCTTTTTGCCTTGAACTGTTTTGTTTTGGAAGCTTGAACAGGCATTTGCATGGCTAACACATGTTTTGGCATGTTTGCAGTTGCGTTGAAGACCATGATGAGCGTTTACAGCACTAGAGATGCTTTTGGGCATCCTTGAAGAAGTGCGTGTTGCTCTGACTGCACTGTTGCTGTTTTCCGCCGACCCTCGCTTCGCTCGTGCCGGTAGGAACA